CATCTTTTAAACTTAGAAGTTTAAAACTGCCCCACATGTGCGTTCATGACATCAGTGAGCACGAACAGCCAGTGAGCTGCTCTGCTCACCGACCAATCAGCGCTTAGTATCAGTAATGTTAGCATCCTGCTGCCCAAAACCCGTTTGCTGTAGAAAAAGGAAATATACAGGTTTGAGTTTACCTTGCTGTTTTAGTGAAATACATCTTTCTACTTTCTAAAATTAAAGGAAAGTTCTGTGTAAGTGATTAGAAACTACTTTAACTTTTTGTTTTTAGCATTTAGCTTTATTTACTCCCATTCATTGAGGACTTCATGGCAGTCATGTAAAAATATTGCCAAAAATTTTAATGAAAAAAATGTCTGCCTCAAATGTATTTTTCATGACCTTTTTTTAGTCATTTTTACAAACGATGCCAATAATTATGGAGTTGATTGTATTTTTATGTCATGCGAGTCATCACTGTACTGAATTCACTGGTTTATTAATGAGCCACAAAGGACAGTTCTTTTGAAAGGGTGGGTGTGTAGGATGGATATTTGGGGGCTAAAATTCATCTCTGAAGTTGTGAATATTTATGTAGTCACATCAAGGCCAAACAAGAAACACAGTGTTTCAAACTCCATATGTTTCGTCCCGTGAACAGCTTTCCCCAAATGTCACTGGATGCTCTGAATTGCAAGGTCAATAAGAGGTTTTTCTTTTTCCCCCACAGACACTGACCTCACCCTCAATCATCATTTAACCTTTGGGAATATGAGCTGGTATGAAGCTCAGAGTTACTGCAGGAACACCTACACTGACCTGGTCAGCATCAGAGATCAGAACCAGAATGAAGCAGTGAAGATAGAAGGGCTGAAGAGCAGCACGTCCTTCTGGATCGGCCTGCTGAGTGATGACTGGGAGTGGACTGATGGAGGACGCTCTGCCTACAGAAACTGGGCGACTGGTCATCCTCAATCATCACCGTTTGACTGTGTACAACTGAGAAATGGGAAATGGGAAACAAGGACATGCAGTGGTGTTTATTCTGTTCTGTGCCACCACAGTAAGTCAGGATCTTTCAAACACTAATTAAAACGTAATTGATATAATATGAGTGAAAAGGCAGTGATGAGAAACACCACAGTATGTAGGAGGATATGGAGAAGAATCTATTAAGAAAATCAGAGCGCCGCCCTTCCCGGTGTTGATAAGAACTAATTTACGACTTATATTATAAACTGATGAGATATGAACTATATAAGATGTGAATTTTGTTGAATGTCTTTTGTTTATGGCTAATTCTGTTACTACATGTAAAAGCAAACCTTGATTTTGATGCTCTTTGGATTCTAGTATAATATTTACTTCATGAATCTCATCAATTACAAACCTTAAATAACATCAATCATAAATACCTACTCATTATTGATTTTGGACGATAATATAAATCTAGACAAAATTGTCTGCAGGACTCTTATGATCATTCAGTTATGAAGACATGATTTGTGTGATTAAAGGGTTCTTTGCGATGTGAAAGGGTTGTTTAGACAGTTGGAAAATGTGTAGTAGATGGTTCTATACAGAACCTTTTTGAAAAGTGTTTTATACGGCACCAAAAGGCGTTCTTTATCGTTACAATGTCAAGCTTGTTATAATAGAACAACACTTTTCATGTAGAACCATTTACAGCACATTCAGCATCAAACTGAAGAACGCTTTCAGGATACAAAGACTCCTGTAATCACGCAGAGGGTTCATTCAGTGTTCATGGTTCTATATAGAACTATTTAAAAACCTTTGAAAAACCATCATTTTTAAGTGTGTATACTAGATTAGTGGAATATTAAAGCAAGATCTATAAACAGATGCAGCGTGATATCAAAAGTGACTTTAAGAATGAAATATGATTTCATAAACCCTAATGTACAGAATACATGCATCTACAAATAAACAGGTAATTTAATTGACCTTTGTGCACAACAGAGTAAAGAGAAATGTGAAACAGAGCCGTACAGCGCTGTATCTTTCACTGTGTTACTGCAGTAAATCATGACCATACGAGCTCTCTGATTCTCTCAGCAGTGCTCAGTATCACAAACACAACATACCTTCTGTAAATCAGTCACTCTAAAACATCCCTGTCTGTTTGTGTTTTATGCCTCATCAGCCCTGATCCATGTCAGTGCTGAGCGTATGAGCTGGGAGAGCGCTCTGGATTACTGTAAGAGAGATAACAGGAGTGCTATTCTGCGCATTGAATCTGATCTGGACCAGAAAGAGGTGGAGTCTGAGCTCAGGAGGAGGCGTGTCTCTGGGCCTCTGTGGGTGGGGCTTGGACAGAGTCAACTCTCTGAGCTGCTGAAGTCGTTCACTAAGCTGGCTTTGGGACCCTGGACCAACTGGAACGAGAGACGGACAGAGTCTCCGCCGTCCCTCGGCCGGGCTGGGACAGACACTGTGCAGGAAGCATTCAGACAGAAGATGGACGTTTCTGCTCTTAGAGCTGTTTGTGAAGTTAAACAACCGTAAACAACAGTTTTCTCAAACCTAGAAGATCAGAGTGCAGCACAGTTCAGTGTTTTCACAGCTCTGACTCGCCTGTTCCAGTCAACATGCTCTAGTTCACTAGATGAATCAGGTGTGATGAAGCAGATAAAACACTAAAGTGTCAGAAACTCTTCATTATTTATGTCAAAATTCATATACAGTACAGTTACACTCTGCAAAATGCTTACCATTTTGCTTCTCTTTGCTTATATGGATTTTTGTGAAGTGATATTTCTACATATATATTCTTTTCTTTATAACAGCACTCTGATAATCATAAGCGATATGAATTTATTGCAGTTGTTTTAATTTCTGCAAAAAAGAGTTATAAAAGGAAACGGGTACATTTTTATGCATGTCTTGTGTAACATTTTCAGATTATTATTTTTAATATTATTATTATTATTATTATTATTATTATTATTATTTCAGTATCAGCTTTTAGTGTATCAGCAGCAGATTAATCATTAATATTGTGTTTAGAAAAAAAAAATATATAGTAACAAACTGAAGTGTATGTTATTAATTTAACAATATCAACTACTTCAATGTCAGCATTTTTTGTTCAAACACATCCACATTTTTTTTTTTTGATTCTCTGAAACTGTGCTGTGTGTGTTTCTATTGTGTGTGTGTTTGTGTGTGTGTGTTTCGAGCATGCAGCCCTGCACGTGTCAGGTGAGGGCTTAGTGTGGATTTCGATTTCCCTCATATGAGGGCTCAGTGTGGGCTTTCTGAAGTCTATGGAGGAGATTTCTTGATAATGTGCTGAATAGCTTTAGCTGAGTATGAACATTTATCACTGTGTGAGTGTGTGTGTGTGTGTGTGTGTGTATCCATGAGGGACCTTGAGTGTGGGACAGGAGGTGTAGTGGTCTGTGCCAAGAAGACCTCATCAAAAGCTGTGACTTGGAGAGGGGCACACGCACACACACACACACACACACACACACACACACACACACAGAGAGAGAGAGAGAGAGAGAGCAAAACACAGTTTGGACCATAAAATATTAAATGTGTCATTGAAAAAGAGAAAAAAAAGCATAGATTTAATTGGAACACAAATTTAAAATAATATATAGAAGCAAATAAAGGTCAAAGGCCACTGAGGGGCTTCATTATTATATAATTATTATATAATTATTTCCAGACTTTACTTCTTGGCTTAGAAATAAAGGAAGCATTTTTGACCAAAAAAAAAATGATGTTAGTAATGATGTGACTAATGAGACAAATTGTAGAAACGATCAAAAGTTTGGAAATAAGAGTGGTCAAAGTGAGTGTGACTTCCGGAGATAATGATGTGCAAATCTAAAAGTTTGAAATATTTGGAGGGCCAGAATCAGTCAGACGCTCGCAGATAAAAACAGTCGAAGAAGCTCTACTGCTCAGTTCTTTATCCAAAGACATCGTTACAAAACAGGCAAAGGTCAAATCTAACAAAGACAATAAAAGAACGGAACGGACGGAACGGAACACAAAAGCAACACCTCACAATGACGAAAGCTAAAGCCCGGTTTATAAACTATCCTAACTGGGTCATACGATACACAGCACAGGTGAACAGAATCAATGATCCGATTAGGGAGATCTGTGATAGGTCGTGTGGGATGACGTCATGGTCATGTATTCACTCAGAGGATTCTGGGAGATGGAGTCCTCCTGAGAGTGAGACGCGGAGGCGTTGACCTCTGCACGCATGGGTTAACTCGGATTAATGCTTGTTTGCTGGAGAGTCTTAATCTTAATAAAATAAATTGTGCTTTTTCCTGCCAGTCCAGGTGTTTTGGGCTTTATTTAAGTCTCCAAATCTGGAGCAAAGCTGCAAATCATTTTTCCCCACAACATCTGGAGCAGAAACACAGATGCTATAACGAAGTTCACCTCTAACGGCGCCACATTACAGTGTTATATTTCCTCATCATTACTGAGCAGCGGGACTTTCATTTCTTTATGATTTCGCTGTTAAATGACGGGAGTCTTTAAGAGTCTCTTCCTCATATCGCTTCAGTTTCTACTGATACAGTAACTACATCAAATATAGAAACAGCTGTAAAAACATCATATAGTCTCCCAAAATGCCAGGATTAGGCCTGTCTGCTCAACACTAATGCATCTTTCTGTCTTTATCATCTTTGAAGTGATAGGGAATTTTTAAATTTGGATAATTAAATACGACCCTTTATTCCGCTGTCGTTTGTTTTTCTTGATTTTACGATGATTTTCTGAAACTGTAAAACGAAGCTATTTCTTGATTTTTCCACAGACAATAACCGAACCAAAACGAGAACTGAACCATTTCCCGTTTTTCAACACTTCCTTTGAAATTAAAATAAAATAACAATTTAAAACCATTTAAAAACGTTTAATTATTAATTCGCCTATTAGAAAACAGTGCAGACAGTTCGCCCCAGGTTTTTTGGGCTGAGGGAGAATTTGACATCGATGGAGCTTGGATGCCATCGTATGGTCAAAATGTGAACCTGCAAGCAGTAGAATAAGAGATATTTTCGTATGTGGAAATATTGTGTAGCTGAGTGACTTATTGAATTACTGTGTTTGTGAAACTGCATAAATAAAATTGGAACTAAAATTACAATAATTTAGCTATGATTATATCTGCCATATTACATCATTTCATACAGTAGTTCAGCATTTACAGTAAGGAGTCTAATGGTCTTTCTCGGATTTGACGGTTAACGGTTTGATCACAGGATGGCGCCCAAGCTTCATCAGTGACATGCATGAGAGCTGTAGCACTTATTCTCTACGCAAACTGTTTAATACATTGTGATATATTGTACAGAATACACCTCTCTCTCTCTCTCTCTCTCTCTCTCCCACACACACACACACACACACACACACACACACATTTTCATACGTTTTGTTATTATATTTTCAATTCAATGTTGCTTTATTGGCATGACAAATATTAACACTTGTATTGCCAAAGCTTTTATATTATTCCTTCAGGCCTCTTACTCCATAACAGTGGGGTTCTTTGCATTTCGAGCAGCCCAGACAAACCACTGTGACCTAAATTTGACTTAAATTAAGATGAACTGTGTTAAAATTAATAAATTTCTTTCTTTCTTTTTTCTTTCTTTCTTTGCCTGTTTATTTTTTTGTGCTTTGTATCATTTTTGATGTTTCGACTTAGAATGACATGTGATTTGAGATGAATCACACAGGACAAAACAACCCTTTATTAGTTCTACACCGGGGAAAACCACAGTGCTACAGCAGCGAAGGGAGAGCAAGGCCCTCTAGAAAAGAAGTAACAAGAGGAGAATTAACTAACAAAGTAATCAACCTTATTAATTACTTAAGAAGGTTACAGTTGGTTACTTAGTACTGCAAAGACAATTTGCATAATACTAAAGATAAAAAAAATGAATAAATAAATAAACAAAAAAACAAGCTCTATTCTTAACAAAAAAAAAAAGAAAAATCACAAAAATGCGCGCGTGTGTAGGGAATTAAACAAATAACCGAAACTTCCTATATTAATAAACCTGATGGGAATGTTTTATTGTACATGACACACAGTAGCTGAGAATGCGCGGGAAGGTGAACAAAGGGAAAGTCTTTGGTTGGGGGAGGAGGGGGGGGGGCGCTGAGAGTTGTCCGCCAAGTGAGCCGTTGACATTTGTCCAATGATCGTTTGTCTGCATTCAGAAGGGCGGAGCTATAATTTGAATTTCGGATTCTAGATAAGCCGGTGCCGGGCGCGTCTCCTCATTTTTCAGTTTTACTCGAAGAAAAGAAAGCCATGCCTGAACCCGCCAAGTCCGCCCCGAAGAAGGGCTCCAAGAAAGCTGTGACTAAGACGGCTGGTAAGGGAGGCAAGAAGCGCAGAAAGTCCAGGAAAGAGAGCTACGCGATCTACGTGTACAAGGTGCTGAAGCAGGTCCACCCCGACACCGGCATTTCCTCCAAGGCGATGGGCATCATGAACTCGTTCGTCAACGACATCTTCGAGCGCATCGCCGGTGAGTCGTCCCGTTTGGCTCATTACAACAAACGCTCCACCATCACGTCCAGGGAGATCCAGACCGCCGTGCGCCTGCTTCTTCCCGGTGAGCTGGCCAAGCACGCCGTGTCTGAGGGCACTAAGGCCGTCACCAAGTACACGAGCTCCAAGTAACAAGTGACGAAAAACCCAACGGCTCTTTTAAGAGCCACCCACATTTCCGCTTAAAGAGCTTTTTGCCTTGTGTGAGTGAAAAAAGCACGCTGTTTTCTGGAGGTGGAGAGAATGGTCCTTTTTATTCCAGTTCATTTTCCCGCGAATTTTTTTTTTTGTTTTACTCTTGTGTAGGTATTTTTGCCCAATATACTTAAGATGTTAAGCGCCTATACCCATGCCCATAGACCTAATAAAATACAATACAGTTTACAGCTTGTATTCCTGGTACGGAGCAGACAGCTGTGTAATACCGGCATGTGACACTACTCATTCAAACTATCCACTCGAACTAAAACAAGAATGTACGAGCGCATATACACACACTCTTGCACATTCTCCTCACACAGACCAAGTAAGTCACAGCACGTAACAGAACGCAGGGATTACTGGAACATTACTGCTTAAGTGAAACAGTTAGGTGGCTCTTAAAAGAGCCTTTGGGTACTTTTGGGGAAAAAGCTGGGAGCGCTCCGTTTAAGTTAAGCGCGCTCTCCGCGGATACGGCGAGCCAGCTGGATGTCCTTAGGCATGATGGTGACTCTCTTGGCGTGGATGGCGCACAGATTAGTGTCCTCGAACAGACCCACCAAGTACGCCTCGCTAGCCTCTTGCAGGGCCATGACAGCAGAGCTCTGGAAGCGGAGATCGGTCTTGAAATCTTGAGCGATCTCCCGCACCAGGCGCTGGAAGGGCAGCTTACGGATCAGCAGCTCTGTGGATTTCTGGTAACGGCGGATCTCCCTCAGAGCCACGGTGCCGGGCCTGTAACGGTGAGGCTTCTTGACGCCGCCGGTAGCTGGGGCGCTCTTACGAGCAGCCTTGGTAGCCAGCTGCTTCCTCGGGGCTTTGCCACCGGTAGATTTACGGGCGGTCTGTTTGGTTCTTGCCATGATATCGAACTCTACACTTGTCCACCAAAAACACAGAATGAGTTCATAAACATAATGCGGCCCCTTTTAAGCGTTCCAGCTGCTCGCCGCTCATTGGGCGTCTGGAATGTGCCCGCCTTCCATTGGGCGGCTCCCCACGCGCTGTCTAAACGCTATTGGGCGTCTTCTGCCGCGCCAACATTTTCAAATCACAAGACACTGCCCAACGCCTTGGCGGGCTCCTGTACCACATTTTTGTTTTTTTCTTTTTTACACGTCCGGTGTAACGTTACTCAGATTTTTGGTTTATTCATCATTGCACGCCTATTATTTGACCTTCACTCGCGTAGTTATAAAGACTTTCATGTAGGTTTATTCATCTTGTATTCGAGTAGAATAAGAGCTTATACGTCACACTTCTAAAGCTTGCACTGTGCCAAAAAATATGTGATATATTTCATGCGCTTCCGTGAGTTCATAATCGTATAACTTGCACGCGTGTGTGTACGGAATGAAACAATAACCGAAACTTGTTATAGTAATAAGATAGGAAAATATGTAATGTTCATGACAGTAGATAAGAGTGCGCGGGAAAGTGAACAAAGGAAATGTCTTTAGCTGGGAAGAGAAGGGGGACGGGGGGTGCACTGGAAGTTGTCCGCCAAGTTTTTGGTTTATTCATTATTACACGCCTGTTACTTGACCTTCACTCGCGTAGTTACACAGACGTTCATGTAGGTTTATTCATCATGAGTTCGAGTAGAATAAGAGCTTTTACGTTTCAGTATGCAGTCGTTGGACGTGGTGAAGCTGTGACCGTTTTATTTCATTCTATCGTAAACAACCTATAACGATCGATCGAAAGTCGCTTTTTTCTACTTTTTAGCACAAGCCGAGGAGAAAAAAACTGCACTTTTGTTGCTATGGTGGGTGGCTCTTGAAAGAGCCTTTGGTTATTTACAATTTAGCAGAAAAAACAAAATGAAACGTATTTATTTGGTCTTGGCCGCCTTCTCTGTTTTCTTGGGCAGCAGTACAGCCTGAATGTTGGGCAGAACACCACCCTGAGCGATGGTCACTCCACCGAGCAGTTTGTTGAGCTCTTCGTCGTTACGAACGGCCAGCTGCAGATGACGAGGGATGATACGGGTCTTCTTGTTGTCGCGAGCGGCGTTGCCAGCCAACTCAAGGATCTCAGCGGTCAGATACTCCAGGACAGCAGCCAAGTAGACGGGAGCGCCGGCGCCGACGCGCTCGGCATAGTTGCCTTTGCGCAGAAGCCTGTGAACACGGCCCACAGGGAACTGCAGCCCGGCGCGGGAAGAGCGAGTCTTGGCCTTCGCCCTAGCTTTACCTCCGGTTTTCCCCCTTCCACTCATTTTTGCACTTCAGTTAAGTTTGATGAACTAAACTGGAATAAAGAGCTTCAGTCTCTGAACGCCCTTCATATGAAAAAGCTGCTACGTTTCTATTGGCTTAAATTCGATGGCATCCAACAACCAATCGTATTAGCGTCGTTGACGTTTAGGGTCCGCCCACCGTTCCTCTCCAACCCACACCCACACCTCCCCGTCGTGTGTGTCTGAGTGAGTGAGAGAGAGAGAGAGAGAGAGAGAGAGGAAATACATAAGATCCTTTGGGAGATAAAGATAAATTATATGGTGTAGACACATATTAAATGTTTTTTTTTATTGTTTATACTTTTTTTATTATTAATTGATAAAACTTTCTCTTGTTAATTGTTTTTTGTTATCAATCTTGGTTTTGTAATTATTTTATTATTACCTTTTGATATAGATTTTTTTACAGCGCTTTAACAGTACAAATGTAAGCCTAAACTGAACTGAGAGAAAGAGATAAAGACAGAATGAAAGAAAGTCCCTGTTTCCTCGCTGCTTTTCTACCCCATTTCCGCTCCTACTCTCATCCATGTAAATGCAAATGGCAATTCGATTATAATGACGAGCCTGGCGGTTTTCTGTAATATCACTACTGACTAGTAATGACAAGCTTGAGTGCAGCACGAAGGAAAATCTAACTCTTTGAGAAGAAAATGTGGGTGGCTCTTAAAAGAGCCGTTTTTTCAATAGGAGAAACAGGACATTAAGGTAAACAGCACGTTTACTTCTTCTTGGGAGCCGCCTTTTTCGCCGCCTTGGGCTTGGCAGCTTTGGGCTTAACCGCCTTTGTTTTCTTCGGGCTCTTGGCCGTCTTCTTCGGGGCCGCCGGCTTCTTGGCTTTTTTGGGAGACTTGGCGACTTTCTTGGCGGCCACGGGCTTCTTCGCCGTTACCTTCTTGGCTTTTTTCGGCGATTTCTTGGCGGCCGCGGGCTTCTTCGCCGCTACCTTCTTGGGCTTCTTGGCCGCGGCGGGCTTTTTGGCGGCCGCCTTCTTGGGTTTGGTCGCTGGTTTCTTCGCCGGCTTTTTCTTGGCCTCGGCTTGCTTCTTGTTGAGCTTGAAGGAGCCTGACGCACCGGTGCCTTTGGTTTGCACCAGGGTGCCCTTCGTCACGAGGCTCTTGACGGCGAGCTTGACGCGAGAGTTTTTCTTCTCCACGTCGTAGCCGCCGGCAGCCAGGGCTTTCTTGAGAGCGGCGAGAGACACACCGCTCCTCTCCTTGGACTGCGAAATGGCCTTAACGATGAGCTCGCCGACGCTGGGGCCGGCTTTCTTAGGCCGGGCAGCGCGTTTCTTCTTGGGAGCTTTGGCCGGCGCGGCGGCTGGAGCGGGAGCGACTTCTGCCATCGTTCTGCTTTTGCTGCGAACGGAGCGAGAATGAGCACAAACTGCACTGTTCAGAGGAACCTCCCTCTCAGGCGGGGAGCCGGCCCCTTAAAGGGCACATGAGAACGGTGTAGACTCAACCACGCGGGCACTGTGCCTCTTTCTCTCAGTGACGCGCTCAGATTTGTGTTTTCTCGTGGCATTTATCGGGCAAAATACGACAGAATGCGCCGCTTGGCGAGCGTCCAACGGCTCGATCCTCTAGAAGAGGCTCTGCCGTGTGTCCCCAGACCGGGAATGGGTGCACAGCGACGCCTTGTTTTACAGGGGGATCTCAAAAGGGCGCCGGGCGGTCGCCGTTCCGAACAAAAGACGGCGTATTTGGCGCGATAATCGGTGGAAAACGGTGGCAAACGGCGGCGTGAACTTTCGGAGAGCTCAACAGCGCGTTCGGGGAGAGCCTCGGCGAGGGCGTGGGCGAACTTCCAGCGACCGAGCGCCTCGTTGACTATGTGTAAAACGGGCTCTCTTGGAGCGAGTAAAGCACAGGCGTGAGGTCGGCGGCCCGCGGAGCCAGAGCCTGCTCTCTGCTGATGTGCTGTTGTACAAAATGTAAATGAACTTTGACTTGACAAGTGTGAAATAACCCAAATCTCATATGGAAAACATTATTATATCATGATATTTTACTTGTATGGCTCTCCATACTCCATGGCTTTGTGTGTGTGGGTGACCCTGAGTGTGAACGCAAAGTGCAGTGGTGTGGGCCAAGTAGGCCACATCTAGGAGAGGCACACACAGAGAGAAGAACCTGTTTGTTCCATTTTAAGACTAAAATGTCTTTGAAGGAGAAAAGAACATACGTAGACAGACCTAGCTGTAACCATATTGAATAGTAGTAATACACGAAGTCAATAAAGTGTAAAGGCCTTAGCCTGATTGTGGCCTTGGCCTGTGATCATCTTTGAAAATATGTTACTTTTTGGTTTGGAAATAATGGAATCATTCTTGATAAGAAAAAAAAATTATGACGTTAACAATGATGTGAACGATAATAAAAGAAACTTTGTAAGGTTTGGATATAATGGTATTTAAAGTAGTCATGAAAGTTGGAGATAATGGTGTGTAACCATTTGGGATGGGCAAGGAGGGGTCATCACCTTACTCTGACCTCAGCAACAGTCAAGGTCTTGCCCTAAATCTACTTTCACTTTAACTAATTTCACCATAAACCTCAAAAAAGGCCTAACTCTAAATTTACTATTACTCTAAATACATTTTAAGCTTGAAGGCTAGATGTAAGACAAATTTGGCCTACTCTAACTACAACATGAGCTTAAAGCCTAGTTCTGTACCTGATTTTAATTTTATAGCTTCATCATAAGTCTAATGGAGCACTATAAATTTCAGTTTTCACTCACTCTTACTTCTTCACAAGCCTGAGGCCCTGCCCTAAGATTACCTCAGGCTTGTGAAGTAGTCCTTTAACTGTAGCACTATAACATCTTGTTCTCACACTAACTACACTACAAGCCTATAGGGCCTCATTCTAAACCTACCATCACTTACTGGAAATCTCATTTTTCTAACTCTAACTTCTTTAGAAGCCTAAGACATCACCCTACACTGACTTTTACAATCTCTTATTTATTCATAAACCTAAGACTGAGCTCTATGGCAACACTTACTTAAGCTTTCTACATTATAAACTTGAGGCCTCGCTGAAAGCCTACTTTTGCTTACACTAGCTTCATCATAAGCATTAGATTTAAAATATATACAGAGTAAGTAAAAGGGCTTATAGAGCAACACCTTAGATTTATGTTTTATTCCAACCTCCTCATGAATCCACTGTTATTTACTTTACTACAACAAAGACACAAAACCTAGCTAGATGCCTCCCTTTGCTTACTCTGACTTCATCATAAGCCTAAGGCCTTGCCCTAAACCTATTTTCACGTTCTCCAACTTGACCATAAACCAAAAACCTAATATAACTTACTCTAACTACATTTTCAGCCAGTGTACAGATGAAAGGCTAGATTTTGGCTTGCTTAAACTGTATCATTAGCTAAAAGCCTAGCTCTGCACCTGCTGTCATTCTACAACTTCATCATAAATCTAACTATACATCTCAGTTCACTCACTCTTACTCCTTCACAAGCCTGAGGCGCTGCCCTACTTTAACATCATTTAACTTTAGCTCCATAGCTACTGCTACTCACTCTAACCTGCTATCATTTACTCCATCTACATTTTAAGCCTGAGGCCTAGTTTGAAAGCTCCACAGCTACCTTTATTAATAGAAGCCAGAGGCTTAGTGATAAACCTATATAAAACTACTTTTGCTTATTTTACCAGCAGCAATAGCCTAAGGTTTAGCTCTTTACCTACCTGTACTCTGTGGCACTTCAGCATTAGCCTAAGGCCTACTTACTCTAACTGCATCATGAGTCTAATGCCTGGCTGTACATAATAAGGCCTAGCATCTTGCCTACTTTAACTTACTCTTATTTCATTTTTATTTGTGTCATAAACAATAACAACAATAGTAATAATACAAAGAAAAAAGTTTTGCTTACTCTACATTCAACATACTTCTGCAGGGCATACAGTATAACCTTCACTTTTATACTCATAATTTTTATTTTTGAAGCAGTTTCATAGTTCTTTCCATTTGTACCACACACACTGACCTCCTCTTATTCCACTATTCAAAAGCCTTAAAGTCAAGTCAAGTCAAGAGGCTTTTATTGTCATTCCATCTATGTACAAGTACACAGTGGAGTGAAATTACGTTCCTCCAAGGAACAACACGGTGCAACAAGGAACAAAATAGACAATACAAAGAAAAAAAAAATCAAACAGAAACAATACAATAAATACAATAAATAAAACAGACATTCAGACACAGTAAACAGACAGGACAGTGCAGCGCCGACACAGCACTCATTTCTGAGTATGAGGTAGTGGAATAAGGTGCAAAGATTATTTAACATGCTGTGATCTGTGAGTTTACGCAGTCAGATTGTAACATACGTGAACACAGCAGTTCCTGAGGTAGGTACACAGTACTAGAGTGAAGAAAGTGCAAACACTGTATTAGCAGCAATGTTCCAGATGGAGGGGAGAGAGACCCCGATGATCTTCTCAGCTGTCCTCACTATTCGCTGTAGGGACTTGCGGTTGGAGGCAGTGCAATTCCCAAACCAGGCAATGATGCAGCTGCTCACCACAGTCCCCTTGTAGGTCATGCTGAAGATGGGGTTGAGGGGCTTTCTAAAGGAGGTGCACCGTTCTCGGAAGAACTGCAATACCAGGTCGATGCGTGGAGCGGACGGAGCAAGCTCCTCTTCCGTCTCCTTGTTGTAAAAATCAATTTCATGTGTAGCCCTCATATAGAGGACGTATCAAATATTAAACTTATTAGAACAGATACTACACTTGATCTTAGTCAAAAGGCCAAGAAGCAATAAATTCTAAAAGGATATTAAAAGAATACATAAACAGCTCTTACAATAACAGATGTGCACACACTGTTTTTTTATTCGTAAATACATGCATGCATGTCAAGAAAAGAACAAAATAATAATGAAGAGGTTTAGAAGCATTATAACTCAAAACAAAGCCTGGATGTTTCCTGTATTCCTGTATTCAAATTATAGCTCCGCCCTTCTGAACGCAGACAAACGATCATTGGACAACAATCAATCGTTCGACTTGCGGGCAACGCCCAGCCCCTCCCCCTCCTTCTCTTCCCAGCTCAAGACTTTTCCTTTGTTCGCCTTCCCGCGCATTCCTATCTAATACATACGTTCCTATCAGTTATACGATTATGAACTCACGAAAGCGCATGAAATATATCACATATTTTCGGCACAATGTAAGGTTTAAATGTGTGACTGTGTGTGTTTGTGTGTGGTAGGACGCACTCTGTTCTTATTTATTTTTTATCTATTTTAATTCTTATTTTATTTACTACTGCAAAGTGTTTGTCGGATACTGTGCACTGAGAGCTCAAACTCCTTGTATGTGTAAGCGTACCTGGCCAATTAAGCTCGATTCCGATAAAGTTCAATTTTAAAACTTTTTTAAAAGCTTTTTCTTGAGTGCTTTGAGACTTTCCCCGTTGTGAGACTAATAAACGATTACCTTGATTCTGAAATTAAAAGATTAAAATATTTTAAACTTTTTTAGGGGGGACCGTCCAGCTAGTTTAAGCTTTCGCCCCCACTCCTTTCCCAGTTATTTCAGTATCAAATTAAGGTCATTCCATCAGTGTTTAAGAGGTAAAATCATTAGCAAGTCGGAATGCAAAATCGGGGGGGGGGTCTTAAAAGAGCCGTTGGGTTTGTCGTTGTTCGAGTCGAGCGTTTAGCCTCCGAAGCCGTACAGGGTTCGTCCCTGACGCTTCAGGGCGTAAACCACATCCATGGCGGTGACGGTCTTCCTCTTGGCGTGCTCGGTGTAGGTGACGGCGTCCCTGATCACGTTCTCCAGGAACACCTTGAGCACGCCGCGGGTCTCCTCATAGATCAGACCAGAGATACGCTTGACACCGCCACGGCGAGCCAGACGACGGATAGCTGGCTTGGTGATGCCCTGGATGTTATCGCGAAGCACTTTGCGGTGACGCTTAGCGCCTCCTTTACCGAGACCCTTTCCTCCCTTTCTTTTTTTCTTAGTTAGCAACAATTCAACATATAAACAGACAGAGCATAAGAAAGACAGCATATACATACACATACCTTAACACCCTACAATTCAAAAATGTCCCACAAGTCAGCGTCCCCGAATGGCGTGTTCAACGTCCGCAGTCTCTTTAGTTCAATTTTAATTTGTTTAAAAACGTCTCTGCTGGACACGAATTGTTGGTCTATGGTCATCCGACATCTTGTTTTCCAAAGTTTAGACTTTACAATAGCGATGATAAACCACAAGAACTCATGTTTCCTGTTATCTACTTTTTCATCAAAAATCCCACATATTATAGATTTCATATGTATATTTATTTCTAAACCCATATCCTTAACCATCTCCCACACTTCTTGAGAGCGATAACAGTTGAATAAAAAATGGTCTAAAGTCTCTTCTTCTTGGCAATTTGGCATGGGGCATAAAGTGGTTTTCACAAAGCAGCTCCATCTTACTACAGCTCTCACTGGCAGCCTTCTTACGGCCATCAGCCATGAGAGATCTCCCTGTTTGTCAGAAAGTTTTTTACACAGAAGATTTTTAATACACGTGTCATTTTCTTCTCCTACAAGATTTCTAAATTCTACCTTTGAGCCGTACTCTTCATCAGTTATTAACCCATATATCTTTTTATTTGAATCATTAATCCAATCAATATCTAAATGTTTGTATTTGTTTATAAAATCACCATATAACAACTTATAATAGGGTACTGATGTTCTAGCACGACCCTTTTTTTTGTTTCCAATTGGTAATATTTCCAATCCAATCTGCTTGTCTATTTATACCATTTGCAATGATTTTACACACAGAAATTTTGGTTTTAATGGCGATATCTATGCTCCTAATCCCCCAAATCTTTCCTCTTATATAGCAAGTTTCGTTTTGTTTCTTCTGTAGTAGAATCCCATATAAAATTACAACATAATTTATTCACAATTTTGAGCCATTTATCTGTAGGTGGAAATATGCAAGATAAAAATAAATATTTTGATAAAATACAAGTCTTAACTATATCTTTATTGTTTATACAAATTCCTCCCTTTCCTCTACCAGACATGCAGTTTAGCTCTTCACTTGAGGGCTGCGAAGAGAATCAATGACAAATGGAGCGATGTGCGTGCCTGTTATGCTCCTCTACAGGACCAAGTTGAAACCAAGGAACGGGAGGCGGAGCCACGCACAACAGACACTACAGAGAAAACAGCAACACGATGGAATCAAGGAAAACACACAAAGCAAATACTGCCACGAAATAAATATCACTCGTATTATTATAACTATTACTATTACTAATACTTTTATTAGTGGTGTCATTTCACAGCCTTCTAAGTCGCATGTGCTTTTAAGTTGTAAAAAACTGTCCAAAGTACAAAAGTAATCAGAGCAAGGAAAATAAAAAAAAAAAGAAAGAAAAAAAGGAAAGAAATAATTATAATACAGCTCATTTTAATTTAAGGAAAACAAAAAAGCAGAATTACAAGTCAAAGTGGGCTCGTCTAGGCTGGTCTAAATGTAAAGATAGACAGAAAGACCTTTAGCATTGTGATTGTAAATGCTGAACTACTGTATGAAATTACGTGGTTTGATTGTTGTAATTACTCTAAAATTATTGTCACTTTATTCTCATTGTCTTTACGCAGCTTCACAAACACAATAATTCAAGTTACTCAGCAACACAATATTTCCACGTATGAAACTTTCTCTTTTAAGCTCAATCGATGACAAATTGCTCTCAGCCCAAAACATCTGGGGCGGACGTTCTGCATTGTTTTCTGCACTCTGATCAGAAAAATTAAAAATTAAACTATAATCTGGGTGCTGCCATGCAGCTAGTATAAGTTTAGTTCCCATGTGTCAAACACAAGGCCAGCAGGCCAAGTCAGGCCCATGAAACGGTTCTATACGGCCCACAAAATCATTTTAATTTTCTATTCTTATTAGCCTGTTTCACGCTGAGATGAACTACAGTCCCCTGCATGCACTGTATCATAGTGTGTGTTCTGACTCCCTTCCCCCAGGAAGAATCTCTGGGCCAGTGGTTACACACAAAGAAAAGATCCCTGGTGGCTAGTTCAAACAAATAGGCAGCTTTTAAAAAAAAAAAAAATAGTTTCATTTAGAATTATTTAGAATTCTCTTTGGTTCTGAAAACTGATTGGCTGTGCTGCGTTTGAAGTCACTGTAAAAATACTCACATTACTATTTCTTTCTGTTTTTCACACCTGTATCTCTCTCTCTCTCTCTCTCTCTCTCTCTCTCTCTCTCTCTCTCTCTCTCCTTCAGGACACTACCTGAGTGACTGCTCTAGCCAGTCAGATTCATGCTGGCTGTCATGTGACGACGGGAAGGTCACCTTAATGACGAAGGAGCAGGTTGCCCAGCGAAGGCAGAGTAGTGCTTATTTGTTACTGTATGAGAGAAAGTAATTATTGTGTGTAACTCATGTCCTTCTCTCCTCCCTCAGCTCCACAGCTCCTGCAGCCACACTCTGTCTCCGAGCCCTGGAGAGCAGATCAGCTCTCCCAGCTCTAAACTCTAATCAGACACCCCGCCGGCCAGAGGAGGACTGGCTCCCCCAGTAAGTCTCGGCTCCTCTCAAGGTTTCTTCCTCGATTGGCTCAGAGTGAGTTTTTCCTTGCCACTTTTGCCCTAGGCATGCTCACTGGGGGCTTGGGTCCAGGGGAAATGTCCTTCTACAGATTACTGAACTCTATGACTCTATAGAACAATGTAAAGAATCTCATTCAATCTAATGAGAAACTGCAGTGCACAACAGAGTTTGGTCAAAATACCTAAATTTGGAGTGAGTTATTAATTTCAAATGATATTAATTTTGCCAGCAGTTTAATTACATCACTCAGTAAAATTTCCATTAATAAATAAAACAGTACTTTAGTTTTCAATTTAATTGCATTTTTATCTCTTTTGTTTTTAATCAAGGAATATTTAATCAAGGCATAAACTACTAAAAGACTTTTAACCAAGAAAAAAAACACAGAGCAACCCAAACACAGGGCAGACAGGCAACAATTACATACAACAAAACATACATGAGAAACAACTGAGAACACCTGGGATAGGGAGGAGACAGGAAGTACAAACAGGTGGGAATCCTAATAGGGAAGACAAGGAAAAGGGTGGAGCAAAGGAACTAAAACAAAAACAAAAGCACATGGATAAAAAGAGCATGGCTACAACACAGGGAAGAAACAGGCACACTCAGAGGAGCATTGGAGAAACTGTGACAGAGCCCCACCACCTAACATGCAGCTCTGAGGGACAAATACAAAGGGCCATTTACAGTGTGACCCAGGTTAGACAGGGGATTGGACACTGGACAGAATGGCAGATGGAAAACTGGAAGATGTGACACCAGACTGGAAAAAGAGACATAACACTAGACTGGGACAGTAATTAAACTGGGTAAGGGACTGGATAACTATAGAAACAGGTACAGAGATCATGACAGTAACAGAGACCGAGATAGTGACAGGAACAGAGACAGACACAAACCCAGAAACGGGTACAGAAACATGAGCAGTAACAGGCACAGTAAGAGAAACAGGAACAGAAACAAACCCTGGGGTAAGAGACTGAACAGACACAGGGGAACACACAGAACGTGAACTCCTAGGCCGGGCAGAGAACTGGAAGGGTGGCGGGCAGAGGGGCAAACGTCTGTGCAACCAACTGCCACATCCTGAGCAGCTGCTGTACAACAGCAATGTCCTGGGCTGCTGCGGGACAATACAAGGCGGGTGAAGGGGCCAAAATGTCAGGAGGCTCATCAGCTAACAGGTTCGGAGGCCTAGCATGGGCAGCTGGAGCATCTGGAGGCAGCAGCTGACGGGTCAAACACAAAAGCACATGGCTGCAACACAGGGGAAGAGACAGGCACACTTAAAGGAGCATTGGGGAAACTGTGACAGCACTTCACAACCTTTCATTTAACATGCATTGTAAGAGCCGCAAGTTCATAATTTAATAACCGAATTGAAAAAGAAAAATACAAAAATAATGTAAACATTACAATAAACAATTATTTTCATAAGAAGTATCATAACCTTAGTGCATTAATATTGAACTTAAGGATATAATCTTAAAGAAACAGTGAGTGAAGTACAAAAATCAAAATGTATGCAAAACATGAAACATCTTTGTGCATTTTCTTTTTCAGCTTAGAAATATATAGATTCATTTATGAAATGCTTGCACAATACAATAAACATTTAAATCAAAGGCTAAGCCACATATACAGGATGGTCATTTGGGTTTGTTGGTTCTGTACAGACACAGTTGGAGACTCGTTCCTCATTGATCTGGATATGATTTTGATAGTGGTTGGAATCAGAATATAACAGGTCTAGCGATGCTCTTCAGGTGACGCTGATGCTCAGATCATAACATTGCGGAGTTGTGCACAGCCTTATGATAATTATTTTATGATGACATGTTCTGGACCCCCGGTTCTGAATGTTTTAATGCTTTTCCTGCTGTAGCACACAGCTTCAGCTCAGGAAGGGTTTGTTAATGAGCTGATCAGGTGGATCAGGTGTGCTGAAAGCAGACAGAACACTAAAATGTGCAGGGCAGGGGGCTCCAGGACCAGGGTTGGGAACCAAAGCTGAAAGGAGGTGATGTTAGCTGGGTATAGAACGTGTTGTTTGGTTCATCATGACTTTTGTTGGGTAATTTATTACAGCAGGACTAAGAAATATTTATAAGTGCATGAAAAACAATCATTCATAGTTTATGTGATGTGATAAACTTCAAAAGGTAAAAAGAAGAAGACCACACACCGGAATTCAAATAGAAACATGATCGAATTCATATAAAAAATAAATTATAGAATTACAGGAAAACAAAAGGAAACATAATAGAATGGATAAAAATAGGAAAACAGCTCTTAAAATGTGAACACATTTGTATAAAGAGACATGATCTCACACTTAAAAGCTTAATTAACAATGTGCACACACACA